AGAAATAACCGCTCCACCGATGATGCAATTGCTTTCACCTTGCACACTGCTCTGTCTCACCTGGAAAACAAAAACACATATGTGAGAATGCTGTTTGTTGACCAAAGCTCAGCATTCAGCACCATAGTGCCTGCCAAGCTGGTGATGAAGCTCCAGCCTTTGGGTCTACACAGCTCTCTGTGCAACTGGATCCTGGACTTCCTGTCAAGCAGACACCAGGTGGTCAGAATGATCAACATTAAATCATCCACACTGATCCTCAGCACTGGTGCTCCACAGGGCTGTGTTCGCTGCCCACTTCTGTACTCCCTGTACACACATGACTGTACAGCCAAACACAGCTCCAACGTCATCGTTAAATTTGCTGATGACACAACGGTGGTGGGCCTAATCACCGATAATGATGAGATGGCCTACAAAGAGATGGTGCATAGTCTGATACAGTGGTGTGAGGAAAACCACCTCTCACTCAACATCAGCAAAACCAAGGAGCTGGTAATGGATTTCAGGAGAGAGAAGAGAGAACACACACCCATCACCATCAATGGGACACAAGTGGAGAGAGTCAGCACTTTCAAGTTTCTCGGAGTCCACAGTGCTGAGGAAAGCACAACAATGCCTCTTCTTCCTCAGGCGTCTCAGGAGGTTTGGAATGAGCCCCAACATCCTCCGCTCATTCTACACCTGCACTGTGGAGAGCATCCTGTCTGGCTGTATCACCACCTGGTATGGTAACAGTAACAGCAGCAATCGCAAAGGCCTACATAGGATTGTGCGAACTGCTGGACCCGTAGTAGGAGGTGAGCTTCCCTCCCTCCAGAACATCTACACCAGGCGGTGCATGAGGAAAGCCAAGAGAATTATCAGCGACTCCAGCCACCCAAGCCATAGACTTTTCTCTCTGCTACACACTAGCCGACTGAAGCAAGAAAGGGAAGAAAAGTTTCTTCCCTCAGACATCAGGCTGATGAACACTTGCAAATGAATAAGTGCAAATAATAATAGGTGCAAATAAGCTTTACTCTCAAATTGTTGTCAATGTTATTAGCTATCTGTAGCTAGCTGTAATCGGTATTACAGTGCATACAAGCCGATTTGAGATAGTAGACACCTTAGTGTAAATCATGCAAGCATCATTAGTTGCTGATGCATGGTTTGGACCATTAATATTTTGGATACATTTTTGTTAATAATTTATTACATTTATGTATATTTATTTATTAGTTTGTGTTGTCTAAAAGACAGAAAAACACTGGATTAGGCTCTTTCTGAGATTTTTAATTTTTATATACAAAAATTGAGCACGATTTAGTCTAAAGTCATTGTCCTCAGCAGATAGTCATTTGCTACATTATTTGCTACATTATGAATTTACCAATACAGTTTGCAAAAAAAGATTCTGTAGCTATTAATGAAATTGTATATTAAATGATGTAACTTTAGCCTCGTTAAATGAATGAAATAAATCGCAAATTTTAAGTCACATATCTGATGTGGTCCAAGCTTTGCTTTGAATTGTGATAATCAGCTCAAGTTTGAGTTGCAGTCCGATATCACATTTAACTGAATTACATTTATTTATTTTTTGGACAATGTTAGGTGGAAATAAGCACAAACTAGAAGCTGTTCTTCTATTTGCAAATTTATTTGTTGAGGAGATACAGGCAAGTTTAATTTGTTATAAACAAATATGTAATCATTTAACTTCTGTTAGTTAATGCCTAGTTTTCTTAAAAGATAAAGTCCAAACAAAAAGAATCAGATAAACCTGAACTAATAATAGTGCTCTTTGTACTCAGTAGTCTTATTGCAAATAGATAATATAAATTACATTGAAATGACAAATACTGTACATATAGGTTTGATATTTTCCATGTTGCAAGCTTGATACATTATTAATTTATTTTTGCATATCTGGCAAGCAGTTTCAAAAAACTGTCCTAATGTGGCTTATTTTTTTCCCAACAGTTTGTTCTCCATGGGTTAGCTCTTCCCTAACTGCGCCATGTACTGTGAAGCAATGAAATATTTTAAATATTTACATTTTAACTTGAAGCCCCATATATATATATATATATATATATATATATATATATTATATGTATTATTTTTATATTATAGATTATATATTATATGTATTATTTGTATTATCTTGCTTTTGTAAAGTAAAGGCTGCTCTATATTTAAAGTTGCTTTATTGGCTTGACATTTACAGTATTGCCAAAGCATTTTAGATCTGTATAAAGTATGTAGTACATTAACATTATTAAATAGAAATATACAGCAAATTGTTAATATTAGAAAAAGACAATATTGTTAAAATTATAATTATCATTAGAAAAAAAGTAGATTGTTTTAATAAGGCAAATTAGTTGATTAGACATTTCTAATAAATGTTTTAAAGCCATTATATATGTAATTCTTTCCGACTAGCCTATGTAGTAAAGTTTATCTGAGTCATTTATTAAATAATTAATCTTTTAGAAAGCTAAAGTACAACCCCTATCCCGGACATTTCAGAAGATTCTGAAACTGTTGGACGCATTTTGGCGGAGCACATGAGATTGTCAAGTGAGTGACAGATCGCGCACACAGAACCAGCAGTATGAAACGGAGCGAGAGATTTTCCAATGGTTAATCGATCGTGAATGTTTGGCTTTCTTGGACGAATATAAAGTGCAAAAGGATGATAGTATTAGTATTATTCATGTGTCACCAGGCCAAGTAAAGTCTATGTGTGAGAAGCACTTTATTTAAATAGCAAGCCTTAGAGAAAAATGTATGCTTTATTATTAGTCTAAATAGTAGGCTATACTCTAGTAACATTAATTGCTACCTTCTATAAACACTGTAATAGCATACTTTTCATAAACACTGAAGGGAAATAGCATCTACTGTACTTTTTGTTTAAATATTTACACATGTAAATAACGCAGCCAGTATCTCTTGCTGCTTGCACTAAGTGTAAATAGCATCTCTTGCTATTTGCACTGAGTGTAAATAGCATCTCTAGCTGCCTTACTTAAATGGGGTAGACTTTTGTAGTAAAAAAATGTCATTGTAGTAATAAAAAAGTTATTAGATTAATATTTTTACAAAAAGAGACCTAAAACCTAGAGGAAAATTATTTTGTAATGTTTATTTTGAAGATATTGTGTGGAGAAAAGATTGGTTGATTCCTTTTCAGTCCTGCATAGGTAATAAATAGAGGCAACTACATTTAAACATTTTACACAACATTTATGTTAGCAATTACACATTAACTAAATTATGCAGACTGGTGGAAACTGTTCAATCTGTTTACATCACTCAAAATCTTTGATTCCTCTTTTTTATGAATGTGAATGTAACGAAGGGTCTGACACAGAGGGATCAATTTGCAGTATATTTATTAAACACAGTTTAATAAAAAGCACACAGTATGCACTAGTGTGCGAACTTAAATCAATCACAGATGTATAGGGTCGATAGGCTGGCGCAGGCATACACAGGGTGATATAGCAGGCATGGGTCAGAGGCAGGCGGTTAGGATCAATGTCGATATTCAGGCTGGGTTCAAGACAGGTAGCAGGCAAGGCAAGGCAAGGCAAGGCAAGGCAAGGCAAGGCAAGGCAAGGCAAGGCAAGGCAAGGCAAGGCAAGGGTTAGCAACAGGGAGATCAGGTAAGGCTGAAAACCGCTCAGCAATGTTAACAGAGGCAGAACAAGACTTCGCACTGGAGCGTATGTTTGGGCTGCTTATATGTGTGCGTGGGTAATCAGTGTGATGTGGACCAGGTGTGTGGCAATCAGTGTCTGAGAGGGTGACGTAATGTCAGTAGTGCGGTGATGATGACCTCTGCTGGCCAGCGAGGAGAATGACTGGGACCGAGTCAGTGACAGAGAACAATTAAAAAAAAACTTGGGAAGATCTATCATTGTATGTCCAAAAAAAATCAGGTTTTAGTTGTAACTTAACCCCCAACGATGTTATTTAATTATTTATTTTTTTATTCATTTATTTATTTATTTATTTATTTATTCATTCATTCATTCATTTTTGTTTCAAACTATTTATCTGTGGAATTTATGATGAATCTTTTAATTTAATTTAATTTTTATTGTATGTTAAATGCAGATTAAATAACTCTAAACCTTGTTTAAATGTTGCTATTATAGATTTTCATTTGTATATAGAATCGCTCCAAAATATTAATAGCGAAAAATGTAAAAATAAAATTATAGTGGCAAAGGAGCTGAAGTTAATTGACTAGTAAACTTGCTGTTATTTGTATAGGTTAAAATAATATCATTGTAAAGATCTCTTTGTTGAACTGTTTTTTATTTATTTAATTTATGTATTTTTTTTGTTTATTTTTACTTTTGTTTATAGTTACTTTTGTATTTTTTGGATGTCATGTTTAAATTGTATATTTGCTGTTGTTTAATTTAAAAAAAAAAAACATATTTGTACCCATCTGTTCTCAACAGAAGTGAGAATTGGCGTATCATATGCACACAAAAATGGAATTTGGCGTATGCATTGCACGCAAAGGGAAAGTGTAAAGTCATGTTATTTGTACGCATATTGATGAGATCGGGTTGAATAAAATATGAAAATAACTTACACAAAAAGTTTTGATAAGATTCTCGTTTGGTTATAAAAATCAGCTAGAACCTAGAGGGAAGTTCTCTGTGGGTAATGACCATCGAAAATAATCTGTAAGGAACGTTTTGGAAAGTTGGACGTTTTCCAAACGCGAACCATTTGAAGATTGTGTTTGCAGGGATGCCGCAATCAGGTTGTTTATAAGAGGTGTTGCTGAGCAATTTATGTTTTTTACAAATAAAATAATCACATATATTTAAAGCTTTAAATTCTTCTCACGTGTACTTAGCGTATATATGATGCTAATTTCGAGTTCAAAAACTAATATCGAATTAATATTATTTGGAAATATGCGTAATTGCCACCGCGCCCTGGAGTCTCTTGTAACCTCTGTTGGTGTTTCATTGCCTTCCGTCTTCGGAAGACTGCCGGGCGTTCCCTGGGAGTATAAATCTAGCGGATCTAACAGGAGTCTGACAGCAGTGTAACGGTCTTCTACTTGAACTTAGCTCATTTACAGCAGAAACCATGAACAAAATCATTTTCGGCTCCTTTGTGCTCGCTCTTTATCTCGCAGTTGGTAAGATACCATTTTTGTTACACTTAATTCATGTCAGCCTATTAAATAATATAGGATTTTGCGCTGTGAATTTATCTTCAGCAGAAACGGATCGTTTGAGTTTAGCTTTTAACAGCAGCTATAATCGCAGTAACCTATATTAGTATTTGTTTGTTATTTCTAAACTGTTTACAACATAATTTTACAATATTTGATCTGTCACAAACATAATTTTACAAGCCAGTGGTTTATGAGTCATTATAGGCTAATTATTGCATTTAGTGTGCTCAGTCTAGATCAAGTTATATGAAGATTTTGGATGTTTCAAACTTTTAAAGTAATAATGCAGTTTGGAATTTGTTAATAGAATGTTATATTTGGAGGGTAGTTGTTTATGTTCCTGCCTATTTGTCATAGATTTGTGCTTGTTCTTGGGAAAGAGACAGGTTAGCCTGAGGCAGAGAGACCCACCCAGTTTGTAACAGAACTTGACTGATCTTGCCCACTGAACCAGTTATTTTAGGTGTGAATTAAGAGCTGCCCTATACAATTGTTTGTTATAGAGTAGAGACACAATGAAGAAAAGGAGACAATAAAGTTCCATATATGTTACAAAGTGAATAAAGAGAATAGTGCATTCTTTTATTTGAGCTTGAAAAGTTGATACACTGGGTCACATTTGATTATGTATTCTTACTTTTTTTTCTGTGCTTACTGCATTTCTTGACTAATGTGTGACTGAAATGAACACAGAGTGGCAAAAAGGAATCCACCTCTAACACCATCTGATCACATATACCATATTTCCATCAGCAAACTATATTTAAGTTTTTGATTATTTGCACTTTGTTAGAGCAAGTAATAGCTTTTCAGTGCTAATCTAGTTAAATAAACAATGATCCTGTCCCTGTCAGCTTCAGGAAAATTTGAAATGTCAGCAAATAAAGAAATACAAAGGAAAGAAGCAGTTTTTGTGTAGTATTTTGTGAAAATGCTGAAAATAACAAGAAAGATACATCAAACCACCCAAACTGTTAAGAAACAATGTTGGGAGAGATTGCTAAGATCTGCTAAATTGCAAGATATTTGATTTGAAGAAGCAGCATATTTCATAACTTATGTAATTTTGCATTTAATAATTCAAACGTATAAATTAATGTAGATGTTCTACACTCCAAACTACAAACCCAATTGACTTAAAATTTTATATCACATTAAGGTCTATGTTATCAAAACTTTTAAACCAAGTGCAAATATTAGAAGTTGTGTACATAAAGTGAATAGCAGCATTTATATTCATTGTTAATTTTTAGCTATATTAAAACAAAATTTTACTTGCAGCAAGTGTATTTTGATGCTTTTATTTACAGTGGCATATGTTTCTTACTAGTTTTATAATTCTAGGCTACATTATAAAACAGTATGCACTAATACTATGTTGAGTGTAGTTGGAAATATTTATCAAACTGTTGCAGTCTTTTGGGGTAAATGAAGATCTACAGTATATCTTCCTCTAACACAAAGAAAAGCCAGAAGCCTAGGTTTACTGTGAATGTTTACCAGCTAGTAAACAGGGGAGTTAATAGTCACAAAACCCCTTTAGCTTTTATAAATTTTTCTAAAGCTTTAATAAAATGGCTATTCATCATACAAAGTAAGGTTTTACCAAATTAGATAAAGCAATCAATACAGGTCACAGGTTTCTTTTTGTGGATACATTTACAACAGCTAAAAATGCAGATCAAACAAAATACCCTTTTCACAACACTGTTATGACGTATTTAACGTTCATCATAATCTTAAAACTTTGAAAAATTTTAATATTTTGATTTGTAAAAAAAATTGTATGAACATTTATATGCTTTTATGAATGTATAATATCTTTATAGGTCAAATTACAAAAAAAAAAAAATGTATCGCTTATGCAAGGTGGTTCTTATGCAGCATCTACGGGGAGAGTAAATTTGACATTATTCTATCCTCTGGCTGCCGTCATCAGTCGCACACAATTTTTTTTCTCTGAAAGTCCTGATAACACCTTCGTCAAGATTTTCTTTTATTATTAAGCAAATAGAGTAAAAAAAATGTGCTCTACTCTCCCATTCACTGCACTTTAAGTTTACCCAGATATGACGCCTTCCACTATTAAGCAACCTGTAAATGTGAAAAGGCTTCTCCAGAATCATGGACAGGAACTATCCATTTTTAAAGCTTTTTCATTAAATACTTATTAGGTGTTTTATTTGAATGTTTAATATTTTTTAATGTTTAAATTGTTTAAAGTAATTTCATTTTCAATCTCCTGAAGAAAAAACTGAAGAATGGTTTCAGCAAAAAGGTGAATTTATGCAGGTTTACTGTATCCAAAATGTCCTCTTCCAGACATCTTACCAACCTACAGAATACTTCAGTTGTGAAAGAAGGGCGTTGCTTGTCATTTTAACCACTGTAACCAGGCATTAATTAGAGTCAGCCAATAGGCTCTGCTAGCAGTATGGGTTATTTGTGCAATTAAAGACACACAGTATGTAAATACTGCATTAAAACAAGTACAACAATTAAGCAGATCCTTTTTTTTATTTTGTAGCTTATTAGTTATTATGTTTCATTGGCCTCTAAGGAGTAACAGGCAAAGCCAGTACTCTTAATAAAATGTTTGCCACATTAATTGAACAGGCATTGTAACTACCTGTTGGGTTATCATTAAAACAAAAATTCAATTCAAACCTAGGTTTGTTGGATCCAAAATGTCCTCTTCCAAACATCTTACCAACCTACAGAATACTTCAGTTGTGAAAGAAGGGCATTGCTTGTCAATAACCAGGCATTAATTAGAGTCAGTCAATAGGCTTTGCCAGCAGTATGGGTAATTTGTGAAAGTAAGACACACACACATGCACACACACACACACACACACACACACACACACACACACACACACACACACACACACACACACTGTGTAAATAGATACTGCATTAAAAAACAAGTACAACAAATAAGCAGAACCTTTTTAATATTGTAGCTTATTAAGTTTTGTTGGCCTCTAAGGGATAACAGGCAAAGCCAGTACTCTTAATAAAATGTTTGCTACATTAATTGAACAGGCATTGAAACTACCTGTTGGTTTATTATTAAAAATAAATAAATAAATGTGAATTCAAAAGTTGAATTTAAACCTGGGTTCAATGTATCCAAAATGTCCTCTTCTAAACATCTTACAGAATACATCAGTTGTGATGTACAGAAAACATCTTACAAACATCTTACAGAATACACCAGAATACATCAGTTGTGAAAGAAGGGCGTTGCTTGTCATTTTTACAACTGTAACCAGGCATTAATTAGAGTCAGCCAATAAGCTCTACCAGCAGTATGGGTTATTTGTGCAAGTAAGACACACAGTGTGTAAATAGATACTGCATTAAAAACAAGTACAACAAATAACCAGAACCTTTTTTTATTTTGTAGCTTATTACGTTTCATTGGCCTCTAGGGGATGGCAGGCAAAGCCAGTACTCTTAATAAAATGTTTGATATATTAATTGAACAAGCATTGTAAATACTTGTTGGGTTATCATTAAAACAAAAATTCAAAAGGTGAATTCAAACCTGGGTTTGTTTTATCCAAAATGTCCTCTTCCATACATCTTACCAACCTACAGAATACTTCAGTTGTGAAAGAAGGGCGTTGCTTGTCCTTTTGACTACTGTAACCAGGCATTAATTAGAGTCAGCAAATAGGCTCTACCAGCAGTATGGGTTATTTGTGCATACAAGACACATATTATGTGTAAATAGGTACTGCATTAAAAACAAGTACAACAAATAAGCAGAACCTTTTTTATTTTCTAGCTTATTACGTTTCATTGGCCTCTAGGGGATGACAGGCAAAGACAGTACTCTTCATAAAATGTTTGCTACGTTAAATGAACAGGCATTGTTACTACCAACTATTCAGCTATTTAGTTTCCACTTTCCATACTAATACGCAACTCCCTCTCTGACTCCTCCACTAACTACAAAAAAATAATAATAATAATAATTTACTAATGCTTTCCTTCTTAGACTTTACACACCTGAAACTCGCCTACAGCACTTATTCATTGTTGCTCTTAAAGTTGTGTAAATTGCTTCCTTGTCCTCATTTGTAAGTCGCTTTGGATAAAAGCGTCGGCTAAATGACTATGTAAATGTAAATGTAAATGTACCTGTTGGGTTATCATTAAAACAAAAATTCAAAAGGTGAATTCAAAAGGTGAATTCAAAAGGTGAATTCAAACCTGGGTTCGTTGTATCCAAAGTGTCCTCTTCCATACATCTTACCAACTTACAAAATACTTCAGTTGTGAAAGAAAGGCGTTGCTTGTCCTTTTGACTACTGTAACCAGGCATTAATTAAAGTTAACTAAAGTTAACATTAACTAAAGTTAACATTAATTAAAGTTAGCTAACTGCCAGCAGTATGGTTTTTTGTGCAAGTAAGACAGACAGTGTGTAAATAAATACTGCAATAAAAACAAGTACAACAAATAAGCAGCACTTTTTTATTTTGTAGCTTATTAAGTTTTGTTGGCTTCTAAGGGATAACAGGCAAAGCCAGTACTCTTAATAAAACGTTTGCTACATTAATTGAACAGGCATTGTAACTGTTCTGTTATCATTAAAACAAAAATCTGAAAAGTTGATAGAGTGGTGTCAGGAAAACAATCATACAGAAATTGTTTTTTAAAAAAATCTTAGAGTGCCCATTCAAGGGTTAGAGAACGCATTATGCACTTGAGAAAAAATTGTGTCATGTAATTGTTATTTTACATCGTTTTTCAATTAATTAATTAAACATGCAGGTCACATGCAGGTCTGTAAACGATAGATTAAGGCTAAAATGCTTGCCTTCTCAATACCACAATCATGAAGAAGCCTTAAAAATATACACATTTTCATAATCTTTTGAGTAAATAATGAGAAATTTGGGCTCACTTTTCCAACACAAATTTCATTAGTGGAAAACTGATCATAAATGTACTGCCTGATTTGTTTGATTATTTTCAGCTTCAGGCTTTAGCAAGTGGTGACTTGCTTGAAATCTGTCTGCAGCACATTCAAAAAGCATTCCTGTGTTATCTACAGCTCTTCCACATATTTTAGTGCATGCTATCAAAGTGGAAATGTGATTTTTAATCCATTCGTCTTTATTTTAAGTGTTATACTGTTATTTCCATGAAATATGGTTGTCCAGTGTCAATTTATTAGTTCATCAATTGCTAAAAGAATTGCTAAAATATTCAGAATTAAACATTTTATCAGTTTTAGATGATATACAGTATGTGAGATATAGTGAGAAATACCATTATTGGTTTTGTAAAAAGGAATTCTTCAGAAGATCCAAAGATAAATTTGTACAACCACGTTGTTGTAATTGTTTACCTTTAGTCATCCATACTGCTAAATGCAATTAGGTGGTATTGGTAATGAACGCCACTACAAAACTGTGAATCATTGTGGAAAAAAAAACACTTGAAGCAGCTTTATAGCTCATCAACAACAATTTTCCATGACTTTTATTTTCCATTTTAACTCAAAATCTTGGAGACAACATTTCCTTAGTGACTAATATGGAACTATTTATTTCAAAGAGCTTTAAACAGCTTGATGTGTCAAAGCCATATTCTCTGTTACCTCCACCCATCCTATTTGCAGCTCCTAAAACGGTCCTGTGCCTGAAAAACAGGTTTAAGAGGGATTTAAGAAAAGAGACTCCCAGGAAAGAGGGAAGAACTTAGTAATTATCTGAACTATCACAAAGTTATGTTTATACTTGTTTAGGTCTTATGAAACATGTTTAACTCTTTTAGTGGTAAGGTCCCTTTTACTAGTTTAGGTATTCGGAATTGTGATTCATAAATTCATTGAATAAATTAATTCATTAATTTTCCTTCGGCTTAGTCCCTTTAATAGTCAATAAATGAATGTTAATATTAATTTAGGGATTCATCTACAATTCTGTACACTATTGTGTATAAATGTATAATATGGCCTCATTTAGATATCAAGATAAACATAGGAAAACTGGTAGGTGGGTTGATGGACTTAGGAGTGGGTGTGGTAGAAAGGAGGGGTTGACTGCTTTTGTCATTTATCCCTAAAAGGCTTTAACTTCCACCTCAGGGTGTGACCGAAACCATTTTGTGTACAGTTTTTTCTATGTTGTATTTAGTTTCTGTGTGAAGCATTTACTAGGGGGACAAAATTCCCCACACAGTTCAGTAATACCCAAACTCTTTCTCATTGAGACGTTTTTAAACCATACTAGATTTTTTTTAAATGTAAAAATCTTTTTGAAAAAAAATAAATAAATAATTGTGACGGGTGCATTTAAAAATGAAGCTAATTTTCGAGGAAAGAATATACATTCTCTACTGGATAAAAGGTTTTGGGGAGCCCTCTACAAAAACCACAAAACTCAGCATACAAAACTCAGCATGTTTTTGTCGAATGTTTTGTATTAAAAAGTGTAAACTTTGAAAGTGTAATCTCACTCAAAAACAAAAATTGTCTTAGTATTTTCTCACTCTTACTCAGTTGATGGGCTAAGTTTATGCACAGTTCTTTGTCACTCCTGTGAATGACATCATTTAGCAAAAAGTGTTTATTTTACAAAAGAAGCCAGACCTGTAGAGCAGGGCTGTATAGTTGTTTCTCAGTGTTTTTTCTTGTTACGTGAATGTTTCAAGTGCTTCAGATGACTCGTACACTGAACATCAGGTCTAGAGTTAACAATGAGTGGAGAAAGATGTGTTGAGAAATGTTGAACAGTTAGAGTTACTGCCTTCCCACTAAAACAAGAGATTTAAAAAAAGTTCATTATTACCTTCAAAACGTTTAACTAAATTATTTGATTTCTTACATAGGTAATCCTTACAACAGTCACTAACAGTTTTTTTCATTAAATCTTTTTTTGTCAGGTCATGGTCTGCAGTGTTATGAGTGTAAATTGGGTTTTTGGGATGTTTGCTTTACAACCAAAAAGACATGTGATGCTGGCCAACTGTGCTTCAGTGGATTAGGGAAAGCAGGTAAGTTTATGCTTTTCAGAAGCTGTAACACCCACATTTTACAAGATTTTTATGAGGAAAAAATGCTTATAATATAGCAAATATAAACCAAATGTTGTTAGGCAGAACATGCAAAAAATATACTGACGATATAGCACTGATTTGAGTGTCTCATTGATTTCATAAAAATATTAAAGGAAGTGCACGCACACATTTTTATCTAAAATGAAAACAGTTATTCAACATAGTAGTTTAATTTACTATTCATCGTTCAAAGCTGTATTATTTTGCTTTACATTTTTCAATATCCAGCATTTGCCTGTTACAAATATTACAAGATTTGCTTTGTAATCAGTGTTTCCACACATTTAAATTTCAGGTGGTCTTGTGGATGTAAAGACGAAAGGATGTCTAGAACTCTCCAAATGCAACAAAACAGAATCGACGACTTTCCCAGCCAACTCAAGCACTCAGATATATCAGATGACCAAGACATGTTGTGCTACTGACCTGTGTAACTCGGGTCACATTCACATCTCTGCTGTCAACATGGCTTTCACTTGCATCACTACTGTGCTCATGGCCAAATTCCTTATTTGAGGAGGATCATTTCAACTTCCATATATACAGAGGAAATCATGCATAATAATATAACCACTTCCCTGTTGCTTTAATACGGCTTTAAAGAAGGCAATATAAGACATTTATACAATGAATATTTTAGATGGGTCACACACTGGAACTTGAATAGCAGTCAATCCTAAATTAATGTTTTCAATTGTAAAAATATGGCAAAACATACAATCAATTTACCAATATAGGCAGGTTTTCATATAATAATCAGCATCGAGTAACATTCTGAATATGGACATAAAATCCTTGTTAAATTAATTTTTTATCACTGGTGAAATGTTGTTGTCTATTTTTTTTTTTTTAATCCGAATAAAAACCATACTTTAACAATAGTTCATGGTCTTCTATTCTGGACCAAGTTATTAATGCATGCATTGTGTTTAGGAAATCGTTTAGTTTAAGTATTGGGGATTTCATGCATGGTATTTTAGGTGTATAGCTTTTTTTTCAACTTTAAATAATTTTTTATCCTTCACTGGCATAAATCTGTGTAAACTACATCAAGAGGAATGAAGGCTTATGTTTACAACTGTCTGCAAAGCAATGATAAGGTCTTTGCCCTGTTTTAACAAATTATCTGTTTAAGTTGCCATTATAATGTGTGCTGCCATTTCAATATGAGAGCAATAAACTGGTTTTAAAATAAACAAAATATTTAGCATTTGTAATTTATGTGAGTGCTGTTTCTTAGCTTCGTTGTAGTATATATATATATATATATATATATATATATATATATATATATATAGTTGAAGTCAGAATTATTTTCCCCAATTTCTGTTTAACAGAGAGCAGATTTTTTCAACACATTTCTGAACATAATAGTTTTAATAACTCATCTCTAGTAACTGATTTATTTTATCTTTGCCATGATGACAGTAAATAATATTTCACTAGATATTTTTCAAGACACTTCTATACAGCTTAAAGTGATATTTAAAGGCTTAGGTTAATTAGGTTAACTAGGCAGGTTAGGGTAATTAGGTAAGTCATTGTATAACGAGGGTTTGTTCTGTAGACTATCGATAAACAAATTAACTTAAAGGGGCTAATAATTTTGTCCTTAAAATATAAAAATTATAATTATTATAAAAAATTAAAAACTGCTTTTATTTAAGCTGAAATAAAACAAATAAGACTTTCTCCAGAAGAAAAACATATTATCAGACATACTGTGAAAATTTCCTGAATCTGTTAAACATCATTTAGAAAATATTTTAAAAGAAAGAAAATTCAAAGGGGGGGCTAATAATTCTGACTTCAATTGTCTATATATATATAGTGTTTGTAAATTGACCAACAGGGATTCTTCTAATACTTCTAATAATTTTTTGACTCATCAAAGATTCAGCTTATTTTTTTTTATAAACCTTAAACTTTATGCTGTTAGCTTGATTAATCCAACATATTCTATAACTTAAATTTCTGCCTATGATTTCTCAGATATTATTTAAATAAAATTTAATGTACACATTTATCAAGAGTGAAGTTTGAGAGAGCAGAAATAAGTGTGGGGTGAGTATTCAATGAGATGTTTTCCTACATTTGGTAAATAATAAATAAGCTTATCTAATTATTATGCTTTAAAATTAATTCCTTTATTAAGGCAAAACCATGCAATACTTTCCAGTTTGTTTTTGTAATGTTTTTCCCATGTTACATTTTTAAAAACTGTGCAAATAAGCTTTTGTGTACTGCATATTTGCTTCAGACTGATTACTCAACAATTAGGTATTTGTTACATCAATATCATGAGTCACTGACTCCACTTGCCCCAGCATGACATATGTTACATTGTTAGTTTTGATAAACTGTTCCACGCAGTGGTTTAGATAAGTGCGACAATATTGTATTACATACACTGACAAAAATTTAAATAAAACTAATTGAAAAAAACTAAATACATTGTTAACAATATACACTTGCTAACTTTGGTACCATGATGAATTTAGCCGGCATTCTGGTTTTTGTTCAAACTCGCTCATATGTTGAAGATTTATTAGTTAATGTGAGATATATAGGTATTTAATAAGTGGTCTTTAGTTTGTGGTTTATGCATGGCAGATACAGGGTGTGGCACATTTTAGGCACTGGTTTGACCATTCTCCTCTACAAGACAAAAGGAATTTCAGCAACTAAGTGAAACAATAATATGCCAGTTTGTTTGATTCAAAATTTGGAAGATTTTGTTTTAACCAGCTGTCCATTGTTTACTGTCTATTTATGTGCTTACATGGTCTTTCTATTTCTAATGTATCATCCTAAGAAAATATTGTGTGTGCTTTTGAGTGTATATGGTGTCAATAGTTTGGTATCTCCCAACTCCCCAAACCAGAATGCTTTGCTCATTCTTCACATTCAGATGCTTCTTTAAACTTGCGCATATTCATTGCTCTCCTTTCTAACAAAAAACCCCACCCTCTTGTGCCTGACCATATATTTGGACAAATTCCAAAAAAAGAAAAAAGCCATCTAGTCTGCTGCGGTACAAGGACCTGTTCATCTTACAAGAATCATTTGAGGACTGCTCTCTGGTTTACATAATCAACATGATGAACAGAATTCTGCTTGGAGTCATTACTGTGATTGGTTTCTTCACTCTAGGTAAGTCCACAGAGAAATAGGTCATTATGAAAAGTCTTGGGTCTTTTTTCTTTTTTTTTTTTAATTAGACGTGGGCATGGAAAAGCTTTGATCCATCATGATTAATAAACAACTTAAACAAAAATGTAAGGAAAATTACTGTAAGTTTAACAGATAGGTTAACCTTGGTTTTGATTTCAATATAGCTTTTGATCTATTTAAAAAAACATTACCTGTTTTAAGAAAAGTAGGACAAAAATGACAGTAAAAATCATTAAATTCATTCAAATGAAAGTACAAGACTTGAAGTCTGCATTGCTGAAGCATCAGCAACTGCACTAATTCTTTTGCTTGTGCTAAAAGTTCACAAGGGTCCAGTTGCATTTAGATTTTGGAAAGAACAGCAAAACGAGACATATTGATAATTATATTGTTATGATTGTTGTAGAAACAAAACATTCTTTAACATTTTTTTTTTAATTCAATTAAAAAAATTTATTCACAATGTGAACATCTTTCATGAAAAGTATTTCAAATGTCTATACAAGATTACTCAAGAATAGCATAGTGTAAGCTCAGTTTGTCCCACTATTAAACTAAATGTGTTTTTATACCAACTCGTTGTTATTTGAAATTGAATTGTTAGATTGCTCATAATTTTATGTTTTCTTTCTGTTTTTCCAGCTGAAGCACTAACGTGTAATTCATGTAAAGTGGGGATCCTAGGCAAATGCTTGTATAGTTCCCAAGTCGCGTGCGCTTCCTCTGAGATCAATTGCTACACTGCTTCAGCAGGTGAGAAAGTATACACACACACACACACACACACACACACACACGCACACACACATACACACACACACACACACACACACACACACACACACACACACACAAATGTTTCAAAGAACTTAATTTAATACAGTTTTTTTTATAATTGGATGAAGGGTTATGTAAACTCAAAACATAAACCTCACACAAACCAACACTATCTCACACCAATTCATAACTTTTTGATTTAGTAGCTCATATGAATGTGTACATTTTGCTATGATTTGCTCATCCCCTAATGACGGTTGGGTTTAGGGGTGGGGTTTGGTGGCATACCTGCTTTTAAAAATCTTGCATTTTCATTCTTACTAAATGTGTATGAACTAGCCACTAAACTGACAAAGAGTAAAATAGTTATGTTTCCTTGTGAGACCATGAACTGTAGATCAAACAAACATTTATAGTTAAGGACTATTTTAAATACTTTTAACACATGCCAATATATTTGCAACAATTCTGAGAAGCACAGGTACAACCAAACCAAGCCAATATTACACAGCCAACATGCAATAAGAAAATCCTGATGTATTGTGTTTCACAGTGTTCAATGTGACTGGATTCCTGAGTCTGTCTTCAAGTGGCTGCACATCTAATTGCAACAACACTGTTGGAACCATCCTGGGCGCGGGATACTCAATCACCAAAACTTGCTGCATCACAGATCTGTGCAATGGAGCAAGTGCTGTTCAACTATCCACGACTGCAGCTTTCAGCACTGCCCTGCTGGCCTCCATCTGGAGCAGTTACATGTTATAGAATCTCATTGTTACGTTACCTAAATCAGTAAAGATGTCTTTTAGGATGAATTTATACCATCAGTTCTAGTAATTTAATTTTTATCGGTCTTAGTTTACTTGTCTTATAAATAAATCTTTACGTGTGATGCAGTGATGATATTTACACACAATGTAAAATGTATTTTTTCTTTTCTCTTATTTTAATTTTTTTTATCATGCATTTTTAATAAAATATTTGGAATGAGGTGGAATATCTGAGCTGAATAAATCTAAAGACTGAATAAACTTGAATGGACTTTAAAGTGTATTTATTGTTTTGTATTACTGTATTTCTTTATTAGTGATGTAACGGATCACCGAGCTCATGATTTGGATTGCATTACAGTTTTTGTGTGATGGATTGAATGGATCTTTCAGATCCGCAAAAAAGGGAGGAGACAAATGTCATTTGCTTTCCAATTATTACAAAGACAGTACTGTTAGCCGATCACCTAATAACATTAAATTACATGTAACAACATTTTTAATTACACTTTACTTTAAAACGGGACTAATAAGTTTTAAGTTATCTTGACTCATATTCTATTAGTACATTTTTACTCAAATTTTTTAATATTTTAAAACTTAATTTCATTTAGTGATACTAAGTTTAATTTAATCTAATATCGTTTATTTTACACAACTTATATATAATTTAAAACATTTATAAAAGTAGCCTCTAGTAATAAATATAGTTATCTTTATTTATTATCTTTTAAGACACCTTGCATTTTCACAGGCACTAACAATTATCAGAATAATTCGTAATAAAAACACAGACACATCACCCTAAATGCTTCTGCTTTAAAATTTTCACCCTGAACCTCAAAAACAGGTTGTATGTGTCAGTCTTTTTAATACTTAATCGGAGAGGTAAACAAATATCAATTGATGTATGGTTTGTTAAGAAAATATTTGGCAAAGATACAACTATTTGAAAATATGGAACCTGGGGGTTCAAAAAAATCTAAATACGATCTAAATCTAAATAAGAAATCTCATTTAAATTGGAGATTTAATTGAAGTTCTTAGAAATGCATGTTACTAATCAAAAATGAGGTTGATACATTTACAGTAGGAAGTTTACAAAATATCTTCATGGAACATGCTCTTTACTTAACATTTAAATGATTTTTGGCATAAAAGACAATTGATTTTAATACTCATTTCATATGAAAAAAGTGGAAAAAAATGATCTATAATCTGTAATTATTATACTATTATATTGTGTGCCTGCTGGGCAATAACTAAATGCACAACAGAATGTTACATTTACTCACATTCACAAATTACAAGTAAAAGCATCAACCTTTTATAGCTTAATACTCACTACGCTTGATGACTTTTGAAAGGGCTAAATTTTACTCATATTTTAAGTAATATTTACAACAAATACTTTTACTCTATACTTGCACTACATTTTTAGGCAAGTAATGGTACTTTTAAAAAGTGTGATATTATAGCACTCTTTTAAACACTGCCATTTTCACAAGTCATACTTTATGCTCTTTTACATGACTATGGTCAAGTATAGTAATGTATAAGGTTAGGCAAGTATGGTACAGAGATGTAAGTAGTCTGTCTTTCTATCAATATCAATCTTTTTAAATGTAACATTCACTTAACATTCAAATTCAGTAAAAGCTAAAGTACTGAAAGGTTACAACAGTTTATGGATGACTTCTATTCTTACATAAGAAATCCATACAGTGCTGTGAATGTGTCCCCTTTAGTTCTTGTTCTTTGCATTAATTAAGAGGAACAAATAAAACACTATCAGGTTTGCATAATGTTTATCTTATTTGATTAAAGAAGGGCTTACATAAAAAGGTCTTGAAGTACTCCAGATCATCCTTATGTAATTACACCGGAGGTCTCGTGGTGACATCATGTGCTTCCTAGAGAAACAAATCAAAAGTAATAATTAATGCAAACATATTTTGAAACTTGTTCTCTAATGGTAACACAGGAAACTAATCAAACAAAAATATGTTTCTGTAACTCTAGTTATAAAATATTTTCATTCATTCATTCATTTTCTTGTTGGCTTAGTCCCTTTATTAATCAGAGGTCGCCACAGCAGAATGAACCGCCAACTTATCCAGCATATTTTTTGCAGTGGATGCCCTTCCAGCCACAACCCATCTCTGGAAAACATCCACACACAAAAACATCCACACACACATTCACACACACACTTATATACTACGGACAATTTAGCCTACCCAATTCACCTGTACCGCATGTCTTGGGCTGTGGGGGAAACCGGAGCACCCGGAGGAAACCCACGCGAACGCAAGGAGAACATGCAAACTCCACACAGAAACTCCAACTGAGCCAAGGATCGAACCAGCGACCATTTTGCTGTGAGGCGACAGTACTACCTACTGTGCCACTGCCTCGCTGATAAAATATTTTAATTAACAATATTAAACTTGATCAAATGCAGCTTTTTAAATTTTCAGTCAGCTTCCTGATGCAGGTTTGTGCAACAATACTCCGAAGAGTCTTAAAAAATGTGATCACTGCTGTGATGATGATGATGATGATAGAGTTAGTGCTAGACATACCTGCAGATCATAAAGTAGTGCATTTGCTGTCTTGCCTGTTCTTGAAACCTTCTTACCATACAAGTCTATCAGTCGAGAGGAGCATTGGTCCAGCTCTGAGTAGAATGTAGTCCATATGTACAAACTGGTTATTCGGTGGACCTCTGCACACCTGCAGACACACAAAAACAAATAAATGTTAAGAATTGAGTACTTATTTTCTGCATCAATAACCTCTGCACAGTGCCTTTACTACGTTATCTGCCAGATCACACACACATGATTGTGAAAGGTGTGTGTTGGTGCTGAGATTTTTTGTTTTAGAACAAATACTTAAAGATTGACAGACTTATAACCTGAGACTTGATCTGTAAAGCAGGCAAGCCATGCTGAAAGTCACTGGCCAATAGATCTCCCTTGGCAATATCTTGCCGGTGCAGTGCAGAGGCATTTCTTAACTTCTACAAATATAAATAGTCAATACAAATACAAATAGAGACATTGTAGAGGGCTAATTCTGGAAAACTGCTATGCTGAAAACATTCATTCATTCATTTTCAACCTAGTCCCTTTATTAATCTGGGATCACCACAGCAGAATGAACCGCCAACTTATCCAGCATATGTTTTACACAGCGGATGCTCTTCCAGCTGCAACCCATCACTGGGAAACTCCAATACACACTCATTCACGCACACAGATTCATACACTACAGTCAGTTTTAGCATACCCAATTCACCTGTACCACATGTCTTTGGACTTGTGGGGGAAACGGAAGCCCCTGGGGAAAGCCCACGCGAACACGGGGAGAACATGCAAACTCCACACAGAAATGTCAACTGACCCAGCTGAGGCTCAAACCAGCAACCTTCTTGCTGTGAGGCGAACGTGCTACCCACTGCGCCATCACATCAACTATGCTGATAACTGTAGTGCGTAAATAATTTTAGATTGGTTTTAAAGGATGTAGAACATATTCTGCATTTCCACTCCTCTGAATCTTAAATTAAGGCTTATCACTTTTAAAAGTCAGCAGGCGTTGAGCTCCAAATTAGCCCTTCAGATTTCTTTATTGAATTGTTTATAAAACCAGGAGGCCCAAAAGGCTGCATTTTTTTTTTTTTTTTTTTTTGTATTTAACTACCATTTAAGTATCTTTCAGTGTAAATCATATCTGTCAATGTAGATGCCACACCACTTGCACTCCACTTAAGCTTTCAAAAAAAATCGAAACCTAAAACATTATTTGCGGAATATTTATCACAAACATTATCAGTCATACTCATTTTGTAATACCTGATCTACATAAGTTAGACAATGAAACTGAAATGCCTAGTTTTAAAACACAATAATTAATTGGAATGCTGTAGTAGGGCCTCCTTTTGCAGCCAATACAGCATCAACTCATCTTAAGAGATACAGATACAAGTCCTGCACACTAAACAAAGGGATTTTGAGCCATTGTGGCCAGGTCACTGCATGATGCTGGTGGAGGAAAATGTGTACTCCTCTATGAAAATGTGAGTCACTCCTCTAAAACACCCCAAAGTGGCTCAATAATATTTAGATCTGGTTGCTATGGGAGATGTTCAACTTCACTTTCATGTCCATTCTGTCTTCAGTCTTGCTGTTAGTATTGGTGCATTATCATCCCTACACACAGCACCACCTCCAGGATACAATGTTTGAACCAATAGGTTCACATGGTCCTCCAGAATAGTTTGATAGTCCTTGGCAGTGGCACACACATCTAGCACAATTATTGGGTATAGGGAATGCCATGATATTACAAGCCAAACCATCACTGATCCACCTCATGCTTCACTCTGGGTATGCAACAGTCTGGGTGATATGCTTCTTTGGGGTTTCTCCACACCCTAACTTTCCCAGATGCGGGAAAGACAGTGATGGTGGACTCATCAGAGAACAATACATGGTTCATATTGTCCACAGTAGTTGCAAAAGATCCAAAGATGCCACACTGCCACTTTAGCTCTCAAAAGTGTTGCCACTTTAGCTCTGATTGACATTAAAGATTTTTTGAGAACTAAAGTGGCAGTGTGCCGATTTTCTTTGGATCTTTTGCAACTAATGTTTGTTTTTTGATCGAGCACCTGCCTTCAAGATTTTCTAGATGTGTGCACATTTCTGTTTTTTGCATCATATTGTCCACAGCCCAAGATTTTATTACTGCTGACACCATTGAAACCAACGACTGGCATTTGCATGAGTGACCAAAGGATTAACTATAGCAGCCCAGCCATGTATATTGACCCTGTGAAGCTCACTGCAAACAGTTTTTGTGAAAAAAGGAGAGTTGAGCTACACATTTAATTTTGCAGTGAGTTAGACAGATGTGGTTTTATGTTTTTTGGATAAAATACGATTTAGCACCCAGGCATCCCTCTCACAAAGCTTCTACTTGAGTGGTTCTACTTGCGTTCTTGGTGGTATGCTGACATTACCCTGGATGGCATGGCTCTTGATAATACCCCAAAGACTTGCTGTCTTATTCACAGATGAACCAGTGAGATGCACATCAACAATTTGTCCTTTTTTTAACCATTTTTAGCCTACACGTGGATATCCAATTGTAAAGTTAATTGAAGCTGAAATCTTTTTTTTAACAACTGAAAAAAAACCTTATAAATACACATTTTTTATTTTTTTTGTTTTATTGTTTTTTTTCCATTTTGAGTTAAAAACAAGTTAACAGATGAGTTTTGTATTTGGTGTCTATTGAATAATATATATATATGTTACATTTTTTTATTATTCATTTTCCAAACTAAATAGGAAAATTGAATGATCGAATGATAAACAGATTAATCTGCTAGGCATTTAATCTGTTTGAAATGATAATTTTAACTGCAATACTTGCTCAGAACTTTCACCGAGTTAATTCCAGAGCATGCTTGCAAAATTATTGGACATGGATGCGTGCATCGACACATGCCGACTCTCATTCTGCTCTGACACATTAAACCAAAGGTGCCCAAAATAAGTAATGGAGGGCCAATGTCCTGCAGAGTTTAGCTCAAACTTGCCTAAACACAAATGTTTCTATGTTTATAATGGTTTTTAACTCAAGGCCTCGGGCCCTGCAGGAAACCAGTCTTCCAGGACAATTTTTGGGCACCCCAAAAAAAGTTTGGGACAATCAGGATTTTGAAAAGAAATTGAAGAGAGATTTTCTCACATAAGCACTGCAGTTGTACAGGGTAAGCCACTTGAGCAGCTTTCCCATACCTAAAGCTAGAAGACCTGTCTGCGTGATTACATCAGTACACTTAGAGAACTGAGGCTGGTTTAATAACTATATTTATAGCTTTCATCTTCAAGCCAGAGATTGTGAAGCAACAATGTCCAAGCATTTTTCCCCTCCTGCTTTAAAATGAGCGGTGATAATGCTGCCAAGCAGATCACACAACAGGCATATGCACCAGCAGAGTTTCAGTTTTTATGCACTTTTTAGTAGGTAACAATTTGAAAAGAGAAAGTTTGAAAGCAAAATACTCACATTTTCAATCAGTTGCTAGCACTTTATTTGAAATCTAATCACTTTTCAAAACTTTAGATTAAAATATATCAAAATTAAAGCATTTTTGAGGATTTCCAGATCCGGTTCCCACACTGAAGATTTGTGATTCTCTAAGAAAAACTATTTTACTATATATAAAATGGCTTATTTCGGTGAGAAGTTTGCATTGTTGTACCTATAAAATAATAATCTCGAAATATTGTGATGTTAACTTGAGTCTGCGACCATAGGCGTCTATTAAAATACATTTTAAAAAAACATAGTTTAATTTTAACTTATACTATATGTTGATTAAAAAACACATATTTTTATCTATTTTCATAAATAAGTTACAAAATTTAGTTGTCTTAAATTTCAGATGTTCAATATTCAAGTTAAGAAAATGAAATTAAGAAATTAAAATTCAAAAATAATTTTAAAAGCATGTAGCCTAATATTCAGTTTTTATAAATTTCAATTGTTAATATTTAAAATGAACACAATTCTTTATTTTATTTATTTTATTAGATTTTATTAGGTTGGTAGTAATAGGGTTTTCATATACAATAATTACAATGTCAGTGTTCCAGTTTTACCACTAGGTGTCAGAATGCATGTTGTAAAATCCATACTTTCCCTTTAAATAAGAACCACTTGAAAAGGAATATTTTAATTAAAACTAAAAACGTTAAAATGTACAAACTGCAAACAATAACGTTTTATTTGTTTAGCCCTTTCAGTAGTTATGGTTACTAAAAGTTAGTGGAAGTTCAGGCTCGTCGAAATCAGGAAATGAGAGAGAGCGAGAGAGAGGAAGTAGGTTAATCTTGCTCTAGGCGTTATCGATGAATTTCGATACTGAATAAGTAATTTAAATTATTTATACAACATACATTACACTAGAATTGGACACTTTCTGGCGTTCATAGATACTTTGCTCTACATTTAACAACCACTGTCAGATTCGGAGTTCAAGGGAGTGAAGTTTCAAATTGACCACGACATAGAGGAAGTGAGCTCGGTGATAAAGCGGCAGGAGTACAATATATAAGTTTGAGTTAGAATCTCAGTATCGTAAAGCGATATAAATATTCGTATTTTGTTTGAAGTTTGGTTTAACAGTTTGAACTCCAGCATGAGTGAGGAGAGACCTGAGGTTGAGCTCTTCGTGAAGGTGAGTTTACCCGCAAGCCATTATTGATACATTTATAAGGACTAGAGTTTCAACTGACAGGCAGACAACGCATGGATCTTTACATTATGAAATAACAAAAAATAAATAAATAAATAAAAATCCAAAAGGAATAGATATTATTCTTATTTCTATTTTAGAAAACAAGTAGTATTCTGCATCACAATAAAATTTGCAGTGTTATTATTATTATCTATTGTTCTTAGTGTTGCTGTGATTCTAGGTTGTAATTAGCATTACTGTGCGTTATATGCACTACACAGACATGCCACATGCTACCAGTACAGCATCAATACTTCCTGTAATGTACTGGAGTGATATAGCACAATCCTTTTGAATTCTTTTTTCAGTGAGTGTTTTTTTAACCCATCTGTATGTATGTAGTTCAGAGATGCTTAATTTAGTTTTTCCTGTTTCACTGGAAGCAAGTTGAGATTTAAATACTAATATATTATAGCCTAAATATATAATAGTACAACATAGAAAAACTTTACACAGACGTGCATCTGTTGGCGTTTTTTGCTAATTTATCTTGTAGAGCATTTATGAGATCAGACACTGCTGTTGGCTTGGCTCAAAATTTCTGCTCCTGTTCAAAACATATATTATGGGGTTTAAGTCAGGGCTCTGTGTGGGCCAGGTACATTTTTATACACCATTACTAATCCTGTCATTTCTTCGTGAACTTTTATTTGCGCTGAGGCAGTCAGGCTTACCCAAACAAAAACGTGATGCATGCATGCTGTTTTTTGTTTGAGTGCATGAAATAAACTCCCTTGTATTGTCATTTTGCATAGTCACTCTTTTGTTTTGCTGGTATACAAAATTGACTATCAATGTTCTTTAAGAATAAATTACTTCCTGTCACAAAGGACACTTGACCTAATCATCTTGCATTTGGGTACAATATGATTCCTTGTATGTACAGATGTTAAAAAAGTTTCTTTTTGTGATTAAGTGCAAGGATAACAAGGGGCTACACCATGGGTGCTCATCCATACTCCTGGATATACCATCTTGCAGAGTTTAGCTCCAAACATAACTAAACCAACTAAGAAGTATCTAAAGGATCACTTGGTAATTAAAGACAGGTGTTTTTGATCAATGTTACAGATAAACTCTGCAGGAAGGTTGATCTTCAGGAATAGAGCTGAACCCCCCTGGTCTATACACAGTCATTCTCTGAATTTGTGTATTTGTTTATAGGCAGGAAGTGATGGTCAGAGTATTGGAAACTGCCCGTTTTCTCAGCGGCTTTTCATGGTCTTGTGGCTAAAAGGCGTAACTTTTAATGTGACCACAGTTGACATGAAGAGGTTGGTTTTTCTGTTGCATTGTGTATCTTGAGCAGTGCACCTTTTTAATTGAAATGATTAACATAGAAATTTCCACCCTGCCAACTTCCTCTTTCTCTGTTTTGTGAGCAGGAAACCAGAAATTCTAAAAGATCTGGCCCCTGGTGCTCAGCCTCCTTTCTTGCTATATGGTACAGAGGTGAAGACAGACACCAACAAAATAGAAGAGTTCTTGGAAGAAACACTCTGTCCTCCTAAGTAACTTACTTCATTATTGCATGCTTCATTTCCTTTCATTGTGTTGCTAGATATCATCACTGTGCTTGTATTTGTATACTTATTATAACTGTATGGATACAAATCCTGATGTTGAACTTGTAATCATACTGTAACATGTATTTAAGTGTTTTTTCTTAAATGTGGGTAAAGTAATTATGAAATCAGAATACAAATACAAATTACAGTATGTAATTTTCAATCTTTAATTTTATAAATCAGGGATGTCAAACACAGATCACGAAGGGCCACAGCTCTACACAGTTTAGTTCCATTCCTGTTTCAACACACTTGCCTGTAGGTTTCAAACAAGCCTGAAGGACTCAATAAGTATGATCAATTGTGTTTGATTAGATTTGGAACTAAACTGTGCGGAGCTGCAGCCCTCCAGGAACTAAGTTTGGCACCACTGGTATGAAGCCATTTTGTCTATCAGAAGAATTAAATTTTGATTGGCCCTCAGTCTTCATTAGAACAGAAATGGTTTGATAAACTAAAAGTTGCTCATGTTAGTCACTCTGTTTTTCCAAATCCTGAAGTTCACTTAATCTTGGATCTGGCCTGTATTAAGACTAGGTAGTTTTTGTGGTCATTGATGAGTCTTGAACACCTTGATTATTTGGATCAGCTGTGTTTGATTAGGGTTGGAGCAAAACTGCAGAGCTGCGGTCCTCCAGGAATTGACTTTGACACATACACATAAGGACACATGAAATGTGGCCTTCAAATGACCGGTTGCTATAAAATATTATTTTTACAGACGACAAGGACTTAAGCAAACGTCCAGCAAGGCTTATTCAGTAAGGGCAGAATTCTAGGTTTTTGCACAAGAGGTTTTTTTTTTTTGGTACAATAAACAAAATACCTCAATTTTATTTATATATATATAAAGTTATCAGTCATCCATCCATCCTTAGTTTTGTGAATTCATACAAATTATCAGGTTGTAAAGATATAGAGAATTAACAATGGAAACTATTACCATGTTTCTTAATAATATTGCTACATACTATATATAGATATTTTAGATGTAGCACATTGATGGGGAGTGATGGGGATGGGATTGATCATCACTGAAGATGAGTGATCACTGATCATTGTGAGATGACCAAAGATGCAGGGCTGTTGAGAATAAATGGCTTATTTTCATAACAATACCACAGTATAGCCAAGCCAACTTTGCTTTGTTTGTTCCTGTCATGTTTTTGATGATTAATACAGTAACCTATGCTGCAATGTGGGATTTCTTGGCCAATTGTAATTAAAAGAAGGATCAGAACCAAAGACTGTTAGGACCAATTCCCATGATATTTTTAGCCCTACTTTCCCCCTTCCGCTTGGCCCTTGAAACAGAGTATATATATATATATATATATATATATATATATATATATATATATATATATATATATATATATATATATGTGTGTGTGTGTGTGTGTGTGTGTGTGTGTGTGTGTGTGTGTGTGTGTGTGTGTGTGTGTGTGTGTGTGTGTGTGTGTGTATGTATGTATGTATGTATGTGTGTGTGTGTGTGTATATATATATACATTTATTTATATATACATATATTTATATATTTATATATATTTATATATATTTATATATATAGTTTTGTGGTCCCACTTTATATTAAGTGGCCTTAACTTATATGTACTTACACAGGAATTAATAGTTTGTTACAATGTACTTAATGTGTAAATACATGTATTTACTGTGTACTTATGCTTGATTAAATACATGTATGTAATTACATCTTTAGTTAACTTTTGTAATTACATTTGTAAATACACTGTTGACCATCCCTTACACCTTAACCCACCCTTAAACCTACCCATGCCACCAAACCTGTCCATAACCCAACCTCTTTCCCAACTCAAAAGCACCACAAGTGTTCTCAAATACATTATAAACACAGTAAGTACATTGTATTTATTGTATTTATTTTTTTTATGTAAGTACATAGTAGTTAAGGACACTTAATATAAAGTGGGACCAGTTTTGTCTCTTTTGTCTCTTATGAAATGGGAAGACCAAACTGTTATGTTTAATATATCTATCTCTTTTGCTACAATTTATTCCTCCAGATATCCACGGCTGGCAGCTTGCAATCCTGAATCTAACACTGCAGGTCTTGATGTGTTCTCTAAGTTCTCAGCCTACATTAAAAATTCAAACCCTCAGATGAACGACAGTAAGTGCAAAAAACATTGGTGTTTATTTTCATTAAATTCTGTTAAAAAGATTGCTATTATTAAAGTCAGCATGAAATCAAAATGTTATCTTCTTGATTTTATATATGGATAGTTGTGCATGTTATCAATTATGAATCTTTGCACTTCATTATTTTTGTAAAAATTTATTTGCCCACATAATCGTAATCTAAATAATCATAAAACAGTTCTGATGTACAGCAGTTCTCCACAACAAAGTACAAACTGGCATGCAAATCTTCCTCCATTTTGTTAGCAATGCCCATCTTCCAACAATCCAAAAGGTTCCCAAAGCAGTACTTTTTTTCTTATTTTATAATCATTTAAAGTTAATGTATGTCAGCCTAGTGGAAATGGAACAAGCTTGACTTCTGTTTCATGCTGCCTTTATGTTTCAGCTGTGAGGTTCATGACCAACTGATCGGTTGTCATCAGGAAGTATGGACTCATTTCACTCTTCGGCATTTGCGAAACTATGTAAACACAGCATTGGCTGCTGCTGAAGTGAATGTGTTTTTGCACTAGCTCAAATATTTTCCTATCTTTTAAGTTTAGGGATGTTGACTGACTTGTGAAACTCGAGAAAGTCTACAAGTTCTTTGAGTACAAGTTGTACAAGTACAACAACTACAAGTAATTTTCGACTTGTGCGTCTACACAGCTGTTGACTTCACGGAACACTTAATATTATCTTGCCTTTTCTTCTGTTATCACTGAACTTAAAACCTTCTGCCCTTACAATGTGATGCATCCCTGTTTTTCAAGATAGTTGTAGACTCTGTTGGCCCTGGTCTGATACCTCTCTTAAATAAGTGTTTACAGACTGGTTCGGTTCCTTTAAGTCTGAAAGTGGCCCCAGTTACCCCTCTGCTCAAAAAGCCTTCCTTAGACACCTCGGTTTGGAATAATTTTCACCCTGTCCCTGTGGTTCTATTTGTTTCTTAGATCCAGTTGTGTATGCTATCTGTGTCTCCCTATTAACAATCACCTTACATTGGACAAACATGTTTTTTCTGTTGTCAAGTTTTTTCCAACTCTGTTTACTTTTCAAAATAAAACACTTTTTTGCCTGAAAAGTCACGTGATACAGTTATCCACACTTTTATAACTTCACACTTGTATTACTGTAATTCTCTACTTTATGGCATCTCTAAATCCCAGGTAGCTTGATTTCAAGTGATCCAAAATTCTGCAGCCAAATTCCAGAAAAATGGTCGCAAACATGACCATGTCACTCCCATCCTACACTCCTGTGCCACTGCATAACTATAGATGTGTTTATTGAGACGTAACGTCGGATTCTGATTGTGTCTGAAGCCGCGTGATCGAGCCTGATTTCCGGTTACGTTATCGGATTGGGACATCCCTAGCTCAAAGTAGAATATATGAAGTCTATGTAACCTGTGTATTTGATGATTAGTCAATATTAACTATTATAATTAGTTATTGGCTATTAGTAGTCATCTGTTGAATTGTCATTGACAGGCCAAATTTAGCCTTTTTTAGCCATGCTGTTGATGTATATACAGTCCATTCGGAAAGTATTCATACCCCTTCACTTTTTCCACATTGTTTTATGTTACAGCCTTATTCCTAAATAGATAAATTCATTTATTTCCTCAAATTTCTAGACACAATACACCATAATGACAATGTGAAAAAAATTTTTTTTTAATTGTTGCAAATTTAATAAAAAAATTTAAAACCTAAAAAATCACATGTACATAAGTATTAACAGTCATTGACCTCAGTCTGGGGCGACGGTTTATCTTACAGCAGGACAATGACCCAAAGCACACCGCCAAAATATCAATGGAGTGGCTTCACAACAACTCGGTGAATGTCCTTGAGTGGCTCAGCCAGGGCCCAGACCTAAATCTTGTTGACCATCTCTGGAGAGATCTAAAAATAGGAATGGGCAAAAATTCACTAAGACAGGTGTGCCAAGCTTGTGGCTTCATATTCAAAAAGACTTGAGGCTGTAGTTGCTGCCAAAGGTGCAACAACAAAGAATTGAGCAAAGATTTTGAATACATATGTACATGTGTATTTTTTTATTTGTAATAAATTTGCAACAATAAAAAAAAATCGTTTATCATATTGTCATTATGGGGTATTGTCTGTAGAATTTTGAGGAAATAAATGAATGTAATCCATTTTGTAATAAGGCTGTAACATAAAAAGTGTGGAAAAAGTAAAGCGCTATTAATATTTTCCGGATGCACTGTATGTCTAGTAGATGTCTATTTAACAAACATTGCTAGGTGGGTGGTGGCTGTGTGAACAGGTCTTAGTATACATTGTGAATAGCACTATAGCTCTGAATGTTCAATAGTAAATACATAAAAATAGGGAAGGTAATTGCAATTGTCAGGTTTTCAAAGTAAGCTTTTTGAACTGTTTTTTTTGTGCAGATCTAGAGAAGGGTTTACTAAAGGCCCTGAAAAAGTTGGATGACTATCTGAGCTCTCCTCTCCCAGACGAGATTGATGAGAACAGTGCCGATGATGTCATTTCCTCCACCCGTTCTTTTTTAGATGGACAGGAGCTTACCTTGGCTGACTGCAACCTGCTGCCCAAGCTACACATTGTCAAAGTGAGACAGACTCCCAACAGACTGCCCCTTAAATAACGTTTACAAAATAAATGCTTAGCTTTATTTTCTCTATTCTCAGGTTGTTTGTCTGAAGTTTCGAGGTTTCTCCATTCCTCGCTCTCTGACGTCTCTGTGGCGATATCTGGATGCAGCATATGCCAGAGAGGAGTTCTCATCCACCTGTCCCAGTGATGAGGAGATATATGTGGCCTACTCTTCTGTTGTGAAGGCGCTTAAATAGAGGAAGGGCATTCCTAGTCACGCTCTCATGTGTGTTATTACCAATTATCCTTCCAGATTACCCTAGTGTTTCATGTTACTGTCTCAAGCTTGAGGTTGTTTGCACCAGCAGGGTCCCAATGTTTCACTTTTAAACTAATTATGGTCAAATGTTTTATATTTTTAAAAACTTCTGAACCGCAGAGGTCAAAGTCATTTCTATTGTTATTCACATTGGTTGCCTGCAGTTTTAGTGGTAACAAGAATAAATATTATTTTATTTTTCAGTATTTTTATATTGCTTACTGTGAACTGCTCTTCACAGATAAAGACCTGTCTTTACATTCATCTTGACCTCCAAGTTTGTTACACTATGTAAAAGAGAAAACCAGTAACAGTAGCAAGCAATCTTTTGTTGATGTATTTTTTTCATATACAGTATCAAGAAAACATTATAGTTTGTAATGAAGGACTTCAATTCATTGGTGTTCAATCTTAGCTTCATAGCACTTAATGAAATTCGCTCATGTTGTTGCTGACTGCTTCTAAAATTACCTTCAAAAAATATTCATATTAAGTCATGCAGTATACCAAGTCTTATGCCCTTGCACCTCATTTTACACTTCTCACTTCTCTAACCACCTTATGCTTATACAATATGTAATTCAATGATACAATTTCTAATAAAGATTAAGTGAAAACATAAACGCGTTATTTTTTTTTTACATTAATGTAGCATTTTAGATATTTCTTAAATTTTAATCTATAAATAAAAATATATCATCTTAAATTTTTGCCCATATTACAGATATTTTTTTCCATTTTAGTTCAGATTTGAATAGCCATTTGAATAGAACTACTTAATAGTCTAATAGTGTAAATGGAATTTAAATTTTTTTTGTACCCTCTTTCTCTTTTGTGCATAGCAGAACTAAACCTTTTGCTTTTACTCATTGTGAAGATAAAATCTGGTCTTTGTGTTGAGAAAAAAAAAAACATTTAAATCCTAATTAGACCGGTATGCCATCATAAGTTGTGAAAATTACCAACAGAAGAAGGCTTTAAGACTAATTTAATTTGTAATTATTCAATTATTCCTCTGACTGGGGAAAGTTGAATGAGTTGAATCAGTTTTTTATTTGCCTATAGGCTAATGAAAACAAGTTTCACCATTTTTGTTGAAAAAAGTTTCACCGAATTCCTATTATTTTTTATGACAAATGATAATAAATTTGTATTTAAAAGTAAGTATTTTTTTCATATTTCTTTATTAATTGTTGTTTATTTAAAATGATAATCCCATAACATTATTTATAAACCTGTAATAACTTACAGTTTAAATGCAAATTTGTAAATAAATACTTTGTGATAAAATAGTATGGTAAGCACTTTGCACAAATTGTAGGAAATATTTCTTGTACAAGTGTGGTTATGATCACCATCCGACCAGCTAATTAAGCAAAGATTAGTGCTTAAAATGTCACTAAAATACAGTATTCAAACCCTGCATGAGATGAATAACGGGATACATGGTAGAAGAAAAAGGTCGTTTGTTTGAGGCCCAGCTGGGTCAGTTGGCATTTCTGTGTGGAAGTTGCGTGTTCTCCTCATGTTCGTGTGGGTTTCCTCTGGGTGCTCCGGTTTCCTACAGTCCAAAGACATGCGGTATAGGTGAATTGAATAAGCCGTAGGTTACAGTATGTGTGTGAATGCAAAAGTGTATGGGTGTTTCCCAGTGTTGGGTTGAGGCTGCAGGTCATTTACTGCGTAAAACATATGCTGAATAAATTGGCGGTTCATTCCGCTGTGGCGACCCCTGATTAATAGAGGGTTTAAGCTGAAAAGAAAATGAATGAATGAATGAATAAATGTGGCAAATAACTGCACAAAGGTCCCCTTTTTCAGAATAAAGAACCACCCTTTTTAATAGGCTCGCTATGGGGCTACATCCCACCTCTCTCGGAAATCTCCCGCATATTCATAGTGGCTCCCTAATGCCTGCAAATTACATTCAACATCCTGACAATTGTGGAGGCAAGAGGGAGTGAGTGAGGGCAAGATAATATGTCAAGTGTAGTGATAAAGTAAGCTTTAAATTATGCTAATGAATAGTGCAATAAAGTAAACATTTCTTTAGTTCAGCATAAATCATTGAATCGGATTAGACCATTAGCATGACGCTGTAATGTACAATGATAATACGCAGCACATGAAAACCAACTACTTGCACAGGGAGCGCATCTTGCAACCATGCTTTATCAAATAGCACAACATATTTAGTATGTATTTGATTTATTCAACCAACAAACCAAGCTTTTCCATTCTGAGAACTGGTTATTAATAACCCATATAAACAATTAATTTATAAAATACATAATCTACTGCTATTAATAAAACAAATATACTGTAATGACCTGTCCCACAAGACAGGTAAAAAAGAGACCATGAAAAGAGGCCAAGATCTATACTACCCTGACGTCTCAGGTGGTGTACCGCACACCAGTTTATAAGCAAACAGGACCTTCAGGTAGGAGCAGTTATGGGAGGCCATTGCCCTGCAGCCACCATTTAGATGTCAGAGCTCACTGGTTCTAGTCTCCTCCCACCACTCACTAGTTGGAGAGACTCCAGGCAGGCCCTGCAGGATCTTGGTAGTACAGGCCTGCATACTCTAGTCATTATCACTGCAAGTTCCACTTGCCCCAAGGAGCGCAAAGTACACTGTAAACGATTTCTTGTTAAATTAACAGTAAGTTACTGGCAACAATTATCCAGTAGCTGCTGTATTTCATAAAACAGTAACATTACTGTAATACTAATTACATTAGTATTACATTTACTGTAAAATGTAATACATCATTTTACTGTTGTTGATTTTTACTGTAACACCAATTACAGTAGTGATACACATACTGCAAAACTGAAAACAGTATTTTATTGTACATTTTTACCATGAAGAACTACGGTATTTTAACGTTACTTTCATTATTACTGTATAGTATTTTACAGTTATTAAATGTTATTTTATTTTATTTAATAGTGCTACTTTATAATGGGTAAAAATGTTCAAAAATGGCACAAGTGTTATTTTAACTGTTCAAGAAATACAAGAAAAATAAAGAAATTGAAACTTTAACTTCACAATAAAGGTTTATTGTGTAAACCATGCTAACACAGTAGCAATTATTCAATATAACAAAGCAACAGAACACTAATAAACAATTGATCATTAAAACCAGTCAACAATTAATGTATCAAAAATTATTACAATTTTAAAAACAGGTGAAAATACTGCTACAAGACAGGAAATGATGAAGGCCAAATGATGTGGAAAGGGACAGTGAAAAAGGGCAGGAGCACTTCTGATGATCCTGCAAAAATGACAAGCAAAATCAATCACTGAAGTAAAAACTAATCATCCCTCAAACCATTTAATTCATTCAGAAACGAAACACTGCACTGTTGTTTATATATATATATATATATATATATATATATATATATATATATATATATATATATATATATATATAAATATATATAACAGTTATAATATATATATAACAGTTTTTTAAATAGTTTTTGTTGGTGAAATACAGTTTGTTGTCAATTCGAAATTACACTAACGTTAATGGGGAAAAGATCAGCGGGCACTGTTCTTGAAGATCGCTAGTCAGGTGTCCACACAGATGTGTAAAAAATAAAGTCTCATCTTAACTTAATGTCCGACTCTGTATAGCTCGAATATCTGATTCCATGATCACACTACTAGTGCTTCCACGGATTTAAGAGGGGTAAACACAGTTCATTCTGACTTTAAGAGGCTACATATTTAAAATTAAATAAATAAAATAATCTAATTTAACGTGACTAATGTTAATTAAATACTTTTAGGCTTTTAACACGTATAAATCCACTTCTAACTTACAGATAAGATTGCGTTAGAGAACATGAAAGCCGTGGGTGATTTTTAAAAATAATGCTAATGATGAGTTACTGATATTTGGTTTGCATAAAACAAAGTAATCACTAAGCATTCATTTTTGGCAAAATCTGCAGAGAGGCTCAGCGACACGAGGAAATGTGTTAAAGTTGAGTAGAGAACTAAAGAGCAGTCTAGCCTACTTCATGAAATGTTTGTGGTAATATTCTGCTGTCAATTCGTATTACTGTATTTTAATATGCAGCAGTGATGGCATGTCAGCGAGACAAATAAACATTTTATCGAGTCATTTCATACAATTTATTTATTTATTTTTTATACAAACCCTCCAGTGACATTTCCTCAAACTAAATCATCATGACGTTACTGTGCACAGCATCAGTAAAACGTTGAGAATAATTTAAATACTTAATTTTTTAAAACAGTCACTGCTGATTAGAAACTAACATTAAAGCTAAGCTTACAGAAATCCTGTATGCATGACAATATAAAGATGTATTACTCTCTGATGTCGAAGCACTTCCAGGTCATCAGAGATGTAGACAGGACAGAATATGTGCTATCAAATGAGCTCTTGTGCAGCCTTTGTTGGACATCCAGGTAGTATGTTCCCCCACACTGTAAGAAACAAAAACAGAAACAATTTATTAAAATGTGAGGGATAGTAAACATGTTTGGTCTACAGAGAGAAGAAAATGTTTAATTTAAGCATTGATCCTAATGAATCTATTTCTCAACTACATTTAACCTTATCACGGAAACAGCATTTTTGAGCTTTTAGACCAGGGGTGCTCAACCTTGTTTGCTTTAAATTAGAATTAAAACAATAAATCTCTATGTCAAATAAAATACTTCAGATCTAAATAAAGCAGGTGCTTTTACCTAAAGGTTCCTTCCCTCCAGTTAGTTTGGCTGCAAATCCCTCCACATCTGTGCTTTATTCGGTTTTTGTCTTAAGAGTAACTGGTGTCACATTCCAGGTTCATCACAATCTGAGCTAGAAAGACAATATGGCAAAAGACAAGACATATATAAATAAGTCTCAGAATAAAATATTTAAAAGGATAGTTTACTTTTTTGCCACCATTACTCCATGTGTTTTAAATCCGTTTAAATTTCTGTTAAACACTAAAGCAGATATTTTAAAGAATGTTAGTAACCAGTAACTATTGACTTCCATATTTAAACCAAATTTCTTAAAAAAATACGAGTTTGTGTTCAACGGAACAAATTAAATGTATAACTATTTTGAAACAAGTGGAGGATGCCAAAGATGCTATTATTTTCATTTTGGGGTGAACTGTCCCTTCAATTGAAGTGTCAAGCAATAGTCATAAAAACTGATGTGTCGCTTGAGGAAAACTAAATCAAGTACTTTCTTTGAACAAGCAGAATCATTATGCCATTGTATTCAGTGATTCTCTTTTACATTTTCCCACTATAAAACAATAGCTTCACCATGCAATCTATGTTAACACAAAAATGAATAGCATAAAATAACATATTGAACTAAACTTACAGTTTCCTGGCTGTTTAAAAAACAAACAAACACATACACCCAGTAAAATTGCTAATAAACACAAAGACAACAGTTATAGAAAAAAATGTTTGTCTGATATTTACTCAGCACTTGGTAGGCAGATAGCATAGCCGTGGCTGTTTTAACACCAGATTTTTTTTTATCTTAGAAACTGCTGGAAGAAGAAAAAGAGGTTGTACATGAAACTCCTCACAACAAATCTGTGAACAACTTGACATTT